GGATCTGTGCAAATAAAAAATTGGAGTGTAGATAAATACTTTAAGTGTCTTCATTTTTTGAGTTGTTTTTAAGTATTTACTAGAAACACAACCAGCCATTATCTTTCATTATATTTTAAATTGTTCTTAGAATCTCATGGAGATACATCTGCCACTTTAACCTACCTAAATTCACTGTCTTGATACTAGCATTAATGGTTGGTTTGTTAGCTACTACAGGATAAAGAAACTGATTTCAAGGAGAAAGGTGATAACTACTCAATTATTTTCCCCCTCAAATGCCTGTTTAATATACATGGTTTTGTCACCTTGAACTTAAAATGTGTTTTGCTTTCCGTCCCCACCTTCCGTGCCTCCCCAAATAAAAGAAAGAAAAAGGAAAGCCTTCCCTGAAAAGGAATATGTACAATCCTGGTAGCCAATGAGTTAATGTTCATTTGCAGCCTGAGGGGTCAGCGAGCAGTCTCTGTTTCCTGATTGGCTGCTAAAAGGTGAAATTGAAACCACTGTAAACTTTTGACCCTGTAGCAATTCTTGTGGAACGCCTTCCACTGGTGGAGCCCAGAGCTTCGCTCACCTCCCCACCCAGGCTTCCTGTATTTATTTTGTGTGATCGTGCAGCACCACATGCAGTTTTTCCAAGAGAGGGGGGAGAGAGAAATCTGAACAAGCACCGGCAAGCGGCTTGCTTGCATGCCTGTTTTAGTAACCATGTCATTACTAACTACAACTCAGCCAAAGATGTGGGGCCTGTTAATAAACTGGTCTGCCAACCGATTTTTTAGTTTTCCCCTTAATCTCAAGGTAATTTTAAAAATGCAGAATGGTTACATTTACTGGCATTGTTCATCAGTGGATAGTGTCGTTGTGTAAGCATATTTCCTGAATATGTTGAGTTAAAATAGCTCTCATTTCAGCAGATGTTCGTTATATATACCCCATTAATGTTTTCTATGTCTCATGTAATCTTTACACAATTGGCTAACATTTTTATAAGAATTACTTTCTTCTTTGCATTTCATTATAAAGAAATTCAAATGACATTTTGGTTATGATAACTATGGAAAATAATTACAGAAATTATCTGTACATTTAAATATTATCAATAATTCTCTCTTTTATGTTGAGGTAAATGGTTTTGGATTTGTCTTGCATTCACATTTAAATAGTTCTTTACAGTAAAGTTACACAGCAATCCAGTTCTCTCTTCCCTCCTTTAATATTATTATTGGACTCTGTCTTCAACTTCTGGTTCTTGTATCCCTGGTGTCTGGTACAGTGTGTAGCATGTACATGCTCAGCAAATGCTTAATGAATGAACATAGTTTTCATTTCGGGAAGTATAGTGGCTATTTATACCTGCTTCTTTCCTAATTAATGGCAAGAACCATATTTTGCTTATAACTCTGAGTGCCACTGCAGTATCTGGCATTTAATAGGTACACAGCAAACATTTAATTGAATGTCTCATGCAAGGTTACTTCAAGAAGCAGGACTTTTCTGAAACCAAGGTTTCTGTTTTTACTACGTCAGTTAAATTTTCAGGTGGACTCCAGATAGGACTAAATGTTTATTATAATTTATTACATGACTAGAGTAAATTATTATAAATCAGCTTGATCCTTTTAATATATACCATATGATAAGTGGGTAATACATTTCAGTTTTTTTTGACCCTGTCCTTACTTTATTAGACATGCATATGCTGTAATTTGAAATAATTCCTGCCCCCCTTGTGAAAAAGATTATGGGATTTAAGAAGGCTTGTCATCACACTGTCTTTAGTGGAATTAAGTCAAATAGTAAAAAAAAAAAAATCTTTTTACTGAGTTGAGTTTATTTAGTTTCAAAAAAGTGATACCTTTCCATATAATACTAAATTTTCATGTGATTATTAACTTAACATCTGTTTTTCCCCTTTTAGTATAGCTTCAAATTGGTTGTAGTTGCAAGTTAAAAATATTGTTATGGTTTTAACAAAGGATATATTTATCGCTTGACGAATAATCTCAACTGCAAAAGAATGTTAAATTTAATTTACACCAATATTAGGTAACCTTTAACCTGAAATTTAATTGGTGCAGAAACTTATTCTGTAGTGCTTTGAAGATGAGTGGGCAACAGCTGGCTTTCCCCAAAGACGTGATTTCCCCATCTCTACGATTTTAGGGGACTTCGGAGGGAGTCTCTAGGAACATTGCCCGTAGCAGCATGGAAAGAGCAATGAGTTTAATATGATTAATAGTAGAGTCCTTGCCTCCTTCCATGTTCAACAGCAAAAGAAAGACATGTTTATAATACTCAGTGGCTTCTTTTTGTCTATTTCTGTTTCCAAGCATTAGCACCTTATAGTTTGGATTTTCTCCTACCTGTCAACTCCCCTCCCCCAGTTTAAGTCTTTGTTTTGGCCTCAAGGCACATTTTCTCAGACCAGCTATTAACAAAGCTCAGTTTGACCCCCTCCTCCATTAGCTTTCTAGTGATGCAGGTTTTGATGATGTGGATCTCATCAGTAACCTTTTTGCTAATTGTAGTAGAAAAATTAATGTCCACCCCTCACCTTCTCAGATACCTCTTTGGGATGTGACATTCAGTTTTCGTTTCAATGTGATTTGATGTTTGTATGTGTGATTGACTAAAGTCTAAATTATAAAAAGGAGTAAGAGTAATTAAGCTTATTTTTGATAAAAGTAAGAAATACAGTTTCAAGAAATTTTTTAGGGCTGTTGCCTTTGTAGAATCTTGGTTCTAGACAAGTTAAATGTAGTTTTCCTAATAGTTCGATACTTTACAAGATCCTAGAATATGTACTTTTTAGACCTAGCTCTTGCAGGTTCTTGGGGCAAACCATAGATCCATAGATCTATGATTTGGGGACCTCTCTAGCCCCCACTGCACACTTCTGGGAGTGGAGAATTTTGTAGGTGGTGTTTCTTTGGATACATGAGGGTTATGGGGTACAAATTGGGTGGGTCAGCACTCCTTTAAATAGTTCTCACCAGCAGTACAATAATACTTTAGTGTTAATGTAGGCTCTGTTTGCCAACATTCCGCACTAGGCAGCAGTACTTGTTTCCTGGGTTGGTTGTTACGGTACTAGGTATATACTGAATCAAATTCTTTTTCCTACCCACCACTCTTGTTTTGTAGGCCTTATGCTCACCCCAAAACTCTTCCCCTTCCCTCAATTAAAGGAGCATCAACAAAAGAACCATTTCTGAAGTGATACTTGATTTAAAACCAGGGCCAGAAATCTTGGATTTTCTTTATAGAAGTTTGACTTGCCTTTCCCCCCCTTTCATCTCCCTCTAATTAAATTGGATATCAGAAAAATTAGTCATAACACATTGATTTCATTTAAAAACTAAAATGAATGATTGTTTTTTCCTATTTTTCATTTCAGTGTGCTTGGAAAATCTTACATGTCAAGTAATCTTTTGTTTTGGCTGATAGCTTTTATTAAGCATTTATGTATTAAGTACTAATAAGGAATTTTAAGCATTTCTACTTTATCTTTACAAGAGCCTTCTTTGGTGTAATTCCCATTTTAAGATAAATCTAAGTCTCTAAGAAGTCTTAAATTGACCCAGAGGTACCTAGCTAGTAAGTGAGAGTTGAGTCTAGATCTGGTGGACTCCGAAGTTCGAACCATTATGCCAACAACTATTGTGGATAGGGAGATTTATCCCAAGAACCAGCTTGTTTTTGTCATATTTCTCAATTATAACCTAGAGACTATACTGTGCTTATAAATAGATGTGTTAGTAGATATATCAGCTGTTTTTATTTGAATGGCACTGATATACTACCTGGATTCTCCTCTTTTTCCTTTGTGTACCACATATGATGTGCTTCCCACCTCCATCCCCTAATTTTCTTGCCTTTAATTTGGGTTTCAAAATTACAACAGACCCATCACATCATATAGCTATATTGTGGTTGGGAATTTGCCATGGCTTCGAATATCTCATTTTCTTCTTCTATCCCTTCCCAACAAACCTGCCAATTCCATCATGCATGCTGTTGACTTTAGGGCTAGTTATGGTTGTTGTCTTGATATAGCTACTACTAGAGTTAGTGATAGTCAGATTGTTGTTGCTTTATTGTTACATTTGGCCATTCATAAGATGGTGAATTTTGATTTTATTTAAAAAATGTGTTTTTATTGATTTTTTTAAAGGAAGGGAGAGAGACAGAAAGACAAACATTGATGAGAGAGAAACATCATTGATTGGCTGCCTCCTGTTTGCCCCACACTGGGGACTGAGCCCACAACCCGGGCATGTGCCCTGACCAGGAATAGAACCAGCGACCTCTTGGTTCATGGGTCAAAGCTCTACCACTGAGCCACACCGGCTGGACGCTTGTTTGTGCACTAGAATCACCTCCACATTAGTGCAAAAGCCTGCCATTTAGATGTTCATTTTTTTTTATATTTTCCTGTCTTTCATTTAAAAATATTTCCTGTTGGTGACTCAAATGCAGTCTTTCCTAGTGGGGGGAAAAAATCCAGGTGTTTTTTTTTTCTTGCTTGCTTGCTTACCCCATCCATCTGTCCATCTGTCTATCCATCCATCCCATTCGTCTGTCCATCCATCTTGTGGGTATTTAAGTATTAGTTTCTGCCAGGATATTAATAAGTATCTTTAATTGTTATTTGTTAAATACTCTTTTTGGACAGGGGGGGATGTCCCAAGTTCAAATTAGCTATCTGGTTTGATCACATTTCAGGACTTGGAACTGGGTCTCCTCCATTCCACTTTGTGTTATCCATTTTTATAAACCGTGACAAAACATATTGTATATGCCATCCCTGAGTTTTTAAGCAGAAGCAGTAATATATGGCAAAATAAGGCACCAGCTAAAATTCTTCAAAGAGGCCTCTTAATAGCCCTTTTTGTTTTGTTTCATATGTCTAGGGAAAAAGTTAATTTGTGTGTGACCAATAATACTAAGAAAGGGCAATGAAATTCAACATACTTTGTTTTTTAAATCTTCAGGATCAAAATACTTGCTGAACAGCGGAATCAGAGACCAATAAAAATAAACTTCTACTTGAACATCATTTGACTGGTTAGCCAGGTAATCCAGTATTTTTTTTTTTTTTTTTTGGCTCGATCCTTTGTAATTTTCTGATTTCAACCTCTGAAGATACTACTCTCTTCTTTAATTTATGATTTAATCTTAAACTTGTTTTATATTTCATGGTTTTCTCTTTAATGATTAATTGAATGAATGCATGGTATTGAAATGAGTGAATATGTATGTGTATATATGTATACAGAAACATAACTTTTTGGGAGAGGAGGGGAACTGTGTTTTACAGTTTAATATGTGGCACTACCCGCCCACCCACCTTGTTCTTATGTGTGAACATTTTTTTCTTTCTTTTTAAATATATTCTTAATTGATTTTAGGGAGGGAGAGGGAGAGATAGAAACATCAATGATGAGAAAGAATCATTGATTGGCTGCCTCCTGCACACCCCCTACTGGAGATTAAGCCCACAACCTGGGCATATGTTCTGACTGGAATTCTAACTGTGACCTCCTGGTTCATAGGTAGACGTCAACCACTGAGGCACGCTGGCCAGGCGTGTGTGAATATTTTAATGGTATTTAGTCAAAATCTGAATCAGCCCCATGTGTTTTTACTATTTTTACATTGTGAAGACTATGATTGCTTGTGTGGGCATATAACATTTTATCTAACTCCTAAATTTTATTAGTTCATCAGAATAGAAAAATGAGTATAGAAAAAGTTGCCTTTTCTTGAATTTCATATGAATGGTATTCCTCTTATGCATATATTTTACCTTTTGTAATCATTTCACAGTTCTTGGACATTTTTTAATTTTTTTTATTTTTTCTCTTAGTATTTCAGTTTTGGAAGTTCATATTGATATATCTTCAAACTCATTTTCTTTTTTTTTCCCCCCCCTCAGCTGTGTCTAGTCAGCTGATAAGCCCATCAAAGGCAGTCTTCATTTCTGTTAGTGTTTTTTATTTCTAATAGTCCTGTTTACTTCTTTCTTAGTTTCCATCTTTCTGCTAACATTACCTATCTGTCCTTGCATGTTGTCCACTTTTTCCACTAGAGCCCTCAGCATATTAGTTATAGTTAAAACTGCACATTTGGATGCCAGTTTTTTTTTTTTTAAGCTATTTTTAAGGAACCTGATTCTTTCCTATTTACTAGCAAACTTTGGAGGCTTCTTTGCATATATTATCAAAATATGTTTTGATTTTTTTAGTGCTCATGATTTCTCATTTAAGAATATACATGGTCATATAAAAACTTGTACATAAATGTTCATAGTAACATTCATAATAGCCAAAAAAAAATGGAACAAACTAAATATCTATCAATGGATGAACGGATAAATAAAATGTTATATCTATACAATGAAGTATTATTCAGAAATAAAAAGAAATGAAGTACTGATATATGCTACAATGTGGATGAACTAGAAAGGATTAGTCTAAGTGAAAGAAACTAGTCACAAAGTACTAGATGTTGTATGATCCCATTTGTATGAACTGTCCAGAATAGGTAAATTCATAGAGACAGAAAGTAGGTTAGTGGCTGCCTAAGGTAGGGGTAGGGAAGAGATTGTGTGAGGTTGGGGGAGAATTGTGAGGATAAGGGGAGAGGCAGCTCAAGAGTACTGGGTTTCTTTTTTGGGATAATGAAAATGTTCTAAAATTGTGGTGACAGTTGTACAACTCTGAATATAATAAAAGCCATTGACTCACATACTTTAAGTGTAAGGTAAGTTAATTAGATCTCAGTAAAGTTGTTAAAGAACATAGCTGATGTATTGAGGAATAGTAAGAGCTCTATGATGCCATAAAGGAATTTTATGGAAAAATATTGTTACCTTTCTCATGGCACTGACTTCAGAAGGTTTGCTGTCTCAAACATTCCTGGGTTTCAAAAATAACATGTTAATTGAACTCACCTCAATTTTTAAAAATCAGTCTTTGTTATAGTAGTCATCCTGTAATTATAGGGTTGATGTCAATTCTACAACAGTATCTTTTTCAAGTGTCAAGAAAGTTTATATTGAAAATAATTTCTTTTAAAAAATATTTTATTGATTTTTTACAGAGAGGAAGGGAGAGGGATAGAGAGCCAGAAACATCGATGAGAGAGAAACATCGACCAGCTGCCTCCTGCACACCCCTCACTGGGGATGTGCCCGCAACCAAGGTACATGCCCCCGACCGGAATCGAACCCGGGACCCTTCAGTCCGCAGGTCGACGCTTTATCCACTGAGCCAAACCGGTCAGGGCTGAAAATAATTTCTTAAAAAAATTAATTCAAAGTCATACCCAGACCTATCTGCAGTGAAATACTTAATGGGTATCTTGCAGCAAAATTGTTTAGGAATCAATTTTTGTTCTCAAGCTTATGATAGTAATTACAAAAAATTACCAAAAAAGCCATAATTTTGGTGGATCTGCTATTTAGGGCTAATTTAAGTGCTGTGGTTTCAAGTGGAAAAGCCAAAGTTATTTTACTTGGGTTAATCAGACCACACTTAGTTTCTTGCCCCCTTTTTATTTTCTTCTTAGGTTTTAAACTTAAAAAAACCCCCACACATTTTTTAAAATTTATTTCAGAGAGGAAGGGAGAGGGAAAGAGATAGAAACATCAATGATGAGAGAGAATCATTAATCTGCTGCTTCCTGCACACACCCCACTGGGGACTGAGCCCACAATTTGGGTATGTGACCTGACCAGGAATCAAACCATGACCTGCTAGTTCATAGGTTGATACTCAGCCATTGAGCCACACCAGCCGGGCAGTTTGAAACTTTTAAGAGTCTCCTTCTATGTATGGAAAGAAGACTGATGACTAATGATACATTTAAAATTGGAGGTAACTGGTTCTGTGATGATATATAGGAAAATATTAATGCATTAATAATGTTAAAAGCTTAAATATTTTGAATTTAATGTTGATCAAACAGTTATTTACTTTAAAAGGTAATTTTTTTGAGCAGAGGTCACATATCAAAAAGATTCTTTTAACAAAAGACTGAAGGTTAAGCTGGTTTGCTTTGATATTTCTCTTTCAAAATATGTAGAGAAAACTGTTAAAGTTGCAAGATTCATCTTTGACATGAACAACAAATATCTAAATTGCTGTACTAATCTACAATCACCATTTTTCTGCTCTTGGTGAAAATGAATGGCGAGGAGATCTCAGTAAATAGTCAGGGTTCATAAAAAGGACAGTTTTATTACACTTGGAAAATATATACATAAAAATGGTCAGATTGGTAATAACATAGCTCTTGTAGTACTTAATTTTGTAACTTAATTAAGAAATACAATTGGCCTAAATATCAGCACAACTATATAAAAGTGAACTGCTGTACAAATAGTTCAGTTTATTATAAATGGCCCTCTCTCTCATGTGCCAAACTTTTAATTACTTTCTTATGATTCTGTCTTTGTTTCTGAAAACTGTTTTACTAAGACTATTGTTTTTGAACCTGTAAAATATTTAACATAAAGCCTGCATTATTATGAAGCTGATATTGAAAACCTCTAAACTTCTGACCTTGAATAGGATTTGTTATGTGTAACCATTACATGGTGCTGATGGATTCAAAATTACCTTTCCTGGGACTCTGCTTTGTGAAAAATAGTGTGTATTGGGCATGAGTGCATGAGCTGACATTTATCAAGGATAACAGGGGCCTTACTTATTTTAACATTTTAAAGTAACTTTGAACACTCTGCATGCGTGCACACGTGGTCAACATATGTTCCTAAGATATATTTTCCATCATGTATTAATGAAACTAAGTATTACTGTTCTTCAATGAGCTTCATTTATTAAACTCATACTATGTGAGTACACAAACATACTATGTCAGTATACTTTGTGAGTTCACAAAGATCAGTTTAGGATAGTTAATTCACTTCTGTAGACTTTTATCTTTTATAGTTTTTAAATTATAACAACTAAAAATGTACTTAACATATTTCAGGCAGCACTCCTATTACACAGTGTGTGATTTGGCATTTCTTTCATTCCTCTACTATAACATTTGACCCTAATGTAGAAAACTGAGTTATAAAAATTATTTTTTTTTCTAAATCAACTACTGGTATATTGCTTTTCTGTTTAAAAGGATTTTTATAGAGCTAGTTATTTTACTGGAGGGTAACATAAAGAGAATTGGAATTACATGACTTTTAGTCTTGGTTCTTAGCTTTTTAAAATTTTCTTTAAAATTCGATTGTGATAATTTAGAAAGAATTCTAGAATAAAACTGCAAAGTTCTTCATGTGTTGGCAAACTTGTTAATTAAAATAATGGTAACACCTTTTAATGGTTGGTATGGGTTTCAGATGCTGCAACCCTACAATATATTGATATGCAGATCACATGGACTTGCTGCAAGGTAACGGGAGACATGCTTTGACTTCAAAAGACAAATTGGCCATGCACAGCTATAATCCTCCTGTCTTTTCACTTTTAGAGATGATTCAGTACTATAAGGCCCTGGGAAGTAAGTTAATTTTTTGTGTGTATGAGAGTTTTTAATTGGGCTTTTGGTAAGCCTTTTTTGTGGAGTGAAGGTATCATGGAAATTTTGGCTGTTTTCATTACTTAAATACCTCTCTCCCAATTCCATTTGAAATATAAGAAGCCTGAGCTCTATTCCTTTCCTTTTTTTTTTTTTTTTTAGCAGTTGAAAAGGGAACCATTTTCTTAAGAATGATGAATAGTGAAAGAAATTTTAAATTTAGGTTAGTTAAATTGCCAATGTCTTTATATTTTAAAAAATTGCAGAGCAATTAATTATGAATTTTAGCATGAATTTTCAAAGAAGAAATTGTCCTTAATTACTTGTGATCCAAGTGCCTTTCTAATAAGAGGTACTGTTTCAATAAATTCTTTTGACAGAGAAGTATACACTATCAGAAAGGTTTAAAAAAATATTTGAAATGTTTACATAAGAACACTTTAAGACCATTACCAAAACTTTTTTGTAGATCTTAGCATTTTTGAGAATTTAGTACCTTCCAAAAGACATCTCCATCATTCCCTCTTAGGTACCAAGGTTTAGGTAATTTACTTAAGTTATTCAGCTAATATAGGAGTTAGAAAATGCAAATAACTACATTGTTTACTGAATTTATCTGGATGGTAGATGTAGTTACTTTATAATTAAAGAGGCAAATTTCATTAAAAAAAAAATTAACCTTGATTCTAGAGAAAGCTGTTTTTTCAAGCCTGCCATTTGCCTTTTCTTTTTTGGGGGGAGGTTATATGGTTTTTAATTCTTTAAGCAACTTTGTTAAGGTGATGGCATATCCATTTTAGAGAATGAGAAATTGAAGTTCAGAGATTAAAATTTGTTAATATTATGCTGGGGTTTATATAAACTATTTTTCCTTCATTGTGCTGCATTCTGGTTGGTTTCATCAGTTTTCTTATCCACTTTACTCTATGTGTGTGTGTTGTTATAGTCTAGGAATTAATGCTATTGAGTTTTGGTTCTGGATATGGGTTTAAGTATCTCATGTTAACCAAATCTATCCAGAGTTCGGATATCTGTTGCTCAGCTAATGGGCAATACTATCTTTTTTAATACTTTATAATATCTGAAAGTTTATAATTCATTCTTTTCACAACCATTTATCTTGTTTCTTTTCATCTATTTTTTCACTCATCGATTCTTTATCTCATTAAGAATCAAACAGCCCTGACCAGTTTGGCTCCGTGGCTAGAGCGTCGGCCTGCGGACTGAAGGGTCCCAGGTTCGATTCCGGGCAAGGGCATGTACCTTGGTTGTGGGCACATCCCCAGTAGTGGGTGTGCAGGAGGCAGCTGATAGATGTTTTTAACTCTCTATCTCTCTCCCTTCCTTTCTGTAAAAAATCAATAAAATACATTTTAAAAAAAGAATCAAACATTTATTTTAAACTTCTTTCCAGTTCATTTTATTGGGTGGTGAGTTTATCTTCAGATATTGATGAATTTCTTGGCCATCTTTCTTAGTTCTGTTTTCAAGTACACTTGAGAATTTTAGTTTACAATTTGCATCTTGAGTGGGAAATGTATTTTTCTTCTTTTGGTGCCCTTCATGTATGCCACTCTCCCTGCCCCTGGCACTCCTGACTCTATTTTTGAAAAAATATATTTTTATTGATTTCAGAGAGGAAGAGAGAGAGAGATAGAAACATCAGTGATGAGCTAGAATCCTTGGTCGGCTGCCTCCTGCACGCCCCTTCCTGTGAATCGAGTCTGCAACCCGGGCACGTGCTCTTCACCATAATCGAACCCAGGACCCTTCAGTTCGAAGGTCAACGTTCTATCCGTTGAGCCAAACCAGCTAGGGTGTAACTTTTTAAAAAAAATATGTTTCAGTTGATTTTTAGATACAGAAGAAGGGAGAGGGATAGAGAAATAGAAACATTGATGAGAGAGTCACTTTGATTGGCTGTCTCCTGCACCGACCCCCCTACTGGAATTGAGCCTGAAACCAGTAATCAAACCCATGACCTCTTGGTTTCTGGGTCGATGCCCAGCTGTTCAGCTCACACCGGCCAGGCCCTAACTCTATTTTTTGTTGATTTTACCCATATCTACCATACCTTCAGTCAAGGTTCAGGATTCCATGCTGAAGTATTAATTGCAATATCAGAAATATGCATGACTCAGGTTTTGTGTATATTGCCCTTTCTTCAGCTGCAGTGACAGTTTGCTATAATCAGTAACTAGCTATTGATAATTGCTTTTTTCCCCACCTTCCTTTCAGAAATTTTTTGTTTGGTTTCTACCTATGAGCCTTGCTTTTGGTCCTGTTATCTTGTGCATGATTTGATTTCTTGATTGTCTTCGCTAATTTCTGGTCCTGGAGCTCTGTGGTTCCATGGAGTCATCAGTTCATTACCTTGTGTTTGCTCAGTTTTGGTCCAAAGATATATTTGTGATATTTGAGCATGGCTGTCTTTCTATATAATAAAAATATTTTGTCATTATTGTATATGGAGCAAGGGGGAAAAGTGTGTTTGGTTGAAAGCAATAATCCACTATGTAATTTTATCAGGGATTCCTTTGTTCTCTTAATCTCACAACATGGCATAGTTATACAGATGGTTCCCTACTTAAAATGGTTTGACTTAAGATTTTTGATGATGCGAAAGCAGTACACATTCAGTAGAAATATACTTTGAATTTTGAATTTTCTTTTTCCTGGACTAGTGATATGTGTGGTACGATACTCTCTTGTGATGCTGGCCAGCAGCAGTGAGCCTCAGCTCCCACAAGGGTACACAATCCATACTCTACAGTGTTTTGTTAGATGATTGTGCCCAACAGTAGACTAACTAATGTAGGTGTTCTGAGCATGTTTAAGGTAGGCCATGCTAAGCTATGATGTTCAGTAGGTTAGGTGTACTAAATGCATTTTTTACTTTAAATATTTTCAACTTGAATGGGGTTATTTCAGTTTATGATGGGTTTATTGGGATGTAACCCCACTGTAAGTTGATGAGCTTCTGTATAGGTCTACAGATAGTGGATACTGAAATATTTATTAAGTCAATGTGGAGGATCTTGGAGAAACCATAGCAGTTTTAAACCCTGAACTCCAACATTAATCTAGCTCAGTGGTTCTCAAAGTGTGGTTGATGGACCCTTGGGAGTCCTTGAGAACCTTTTGTGGGGTCCACAGAGGTCAAACAGTTTTTATAGTATATGTTATTTGCCATTCTCATCCTGCTGATGTTTGTACTGATGGGGCAAAAGCAGTGGTGCATAAAGCTGCTGGCACCTTAGCATGGATCACGGCAGTGGCACCACCAGACCGTTCTTCACTCAAAGTTAAAGAAAAAACCCACCCATTTCCCACTCAGGATTGTCCTTGATAAAGCAGCAAAATTGCTCATTTCGTTAAATCTTCCCTTTTGAGTACTATATTTTAAATATTCCGTCTAGTGAGAATGGAAAACATGCAGAAAGCACTTCTGCCTAGGTTGTCTTGGGGAAAAGCACTTGGGCAATGGGCTTTTGTCCTGAATTGGCCACTTTCTTCATGGAATGCCATTTTACTTGAAAGAACTATGGTTATTGAAACTTGGATTTTGCTGACAGTTTCTTAAAAATGAGCAAGGTGAACCTAGCTCTTCAAGGAAAACATCTAACGTGTTGATAGTGGTAAAATTTGAGTTTTAAGCGAAAATTGTTGGTAAATTTGAATCTGCCACCATGAGTATAACATCTTCTCAGTACTCAAAAAAACTTTTAGGGTAAGATGGGTGGTGATATTAATGTGGAGTTTTTGATATTGTATAATGAAAATATCAGTATTTGAAAATCTGCTTAATCAGTGAACTAGTATTATCCAGATGACAATGATGTTATAAAATCATGCATGGGTTAAAGATTTGTTCAGAGTGCAAGGGAGGTCATTATATTTTACTGTTACAGCATGAAAGCTCATTGATATGGTTGCAACTAACTTTTAAGAAAGTACCATGTGTTAGCCCTGGCTGGGTAGCTCGGTTGGTTAAAGCGTCATCTCTCTACACCAAAGTTTCAGGTTCAATCCCCAGTTAGGGCACATACAAGAAACATCCAAGGAATGCATAAATATGTAGAACAACAAAATATCACTGTTTTTCTCTCTGTCTTTCTCTCCCTTCCTCTATGTCTCTAGAGTTCATAAATACATAAAAATTAAAAAGCGAAGTACCACTGGCTGGCATGGCTCAGTGGTTGAGCATCGACCTATGAACCAGGAGGTCACGGTTCGATTCCCGGTCAGGCCACATGCCCAGGTTGAGGGCTCGATCCCCAGTGTGGGGTGGGCAGGAGGCAACCGATGAATGATTCTTTCTCATCGATTTTTCTATCTCTCCAACTTTCCTCTTTGAAATCAATAAAAAATATTTAAAAAAAAAGCAAAGTACCACTTTTCAAGTTTTAGCATAATATCAACGAAAGTTCTCTCTTAATTATTTGTAAATGACTATTGAAATAGTCCTTCCTTTTACAAGTACATGTTTCTTTTAGGCTGGATTTCCTTTTTAGTTTTAACCAAAATAACATATTGCAACAGATTGAGTGGAGAAATAGATAAGAGAATTCAACTATTCCTACGTCAGACAAAAGAGTTGTAAAAATGTAAAGCAGTGTCACCTCTTTCTTGGAATTGTTTTATTTCAAAAAAGTTATTTTTTTATAAAATTTTTAACATATAATGGGATTGTTATAAAATGAATTAGTATTTCAAATGTTTCTAAGTTTTAATGTATAATATGGTAAATACTGATAGATATAACCCAAATAACAAAAGCTTTTTGGGTTCTAAATTTTTAACAGGGAAAGGAATCCTGATATCAAAAAGGTTGAGAAGCACTGAACTAGTAAATTTGGTTGGAACTCTAGAAG